GCTCTCTGAGTTAAGAGAGCCACTAGATTCTTGTTCAAACCAAAAAGCTGTAAACTGCCAAGGACTATTCCTTCATACTCCATTTATCCAAACCATCATCAAATAATGCTGATTTGGGGCTGGGGATTTAGCTCAGTGGTGTCACCACCTGCCTTGCAAGTGCAAGGTCCTGAATTAGATCCCTAGTACCAAAAAATAAAATTTAAAAAAAATTCTGATTTTATATCCTAAATCTATATCAAACTATTCACTTGTCTTTATGATGATCCACTATTCTTTGATGAGTGATAAGTCTGAGGCATTGCATCTTTCTCCTAAATTACTGCCATAGGCTCTCAATTGTTCTTACTGTGATCTCTCTTGGCCCTCTTCAATTCATTCTCTATGCTGCTGCCATTTATATTTTCTATGCTTGTAAGATTGTTAGAAATCTGTAGTATGGTAACAATGCCCTACATGTCCTAGTCCCTGTCAACTTTTCTAGCCTTCTGTAGGCTTCTCTTCCCCATTCACTCTCCTTAAACTATGCAAAGTTTATTTGACCTCAGAACCTTTACATGTAATGTTATCTCTGTGGAATGGTCTTACACTCTCATTTTACTCAGCCCTTAGATTTATTTATTTCCTCGGTGAAGTCTTCCCTGCTACTCTAGGTCAGATGAATCAGCATCCATCCCACTTTACATCTTATACATCTTTGTAACCCAATATTATTGCTATTATCTGTTGATGTTGTATATCCCTGTAGGCTATAACTTTCACCAGGGTGCAAACTGTATGCTGAAAACATTTATTAAATGAATGAATGAACTAAATGTTTATTAAGATTGTAAAACTTTGATTGCAATCATTAGCTCTTTACACAGCCTAGCCCAGGTCATTGTGTAATCTGTACCTCCTTTTCTCTTCCATGTCTATGCATGATTGAATGAATAAATACTTTATGTAAAAATGAATTGGGATACCTAAAATCACTCATTATTCTTTGAGAATTTCTTCACTTGCATTTATTCTTATGATTATTTTAGTTTTTTTGATATGGGGTCTTGTGATGTAGCCCAGGCCAGCCTTGAACTTGCTGAAATTCTCTTGCCTCAGCCTCATGAGTCCTGGGATTACACGTGTGCACTACTATGCCTGCCCACTTGCATTTATTGTGTGCATTTCCTTTTCCTACTCTACATATATTCCATATTTTTGTCTCTTTCTTTTCACAAGTACAATTCATTCTTTGTGGCTAGAGGAAATTTCTCTAGTCAGTAATTCCTTCCCTTTTGATGTCTTAGGATTTGTTATAGAGTACAAATGGAATTGCTGTGTACTCTTAAAACAATATACAATTTTATTTAAACTTTTTTTTTTTTTGGTACTGGGGATCTAACTCAGGACCTTGCTCTTGTGAGGCAGGTGGTGGAACCACTGAGCTAAATCTGTGAACCCACTGTACGGTTTTAAATAAGCACATTATTTTTACCTAAGGTGCTGTTTCTATTTCTAGGGATTGGGAAGAGAGGACATGTTTATGAAGATCAGCATTGATTGTGAGCATTAAGTCAACTATCAGAGGATTGCGATTTGCACTGTGGGTGATAATCTATCTATATTTCTGCCCATTACTTTCAGTGATTAAATTAAATTGCAGGATCTGCCTTTGTATAAAGTTTCCCAGTCTGTTAATATGTCTTGCTGCAGCTATAAAATAATCTTAAGAGATGGCAGAACTGTGCTTATTTTTTGAATTGCTGGACATGGGGAGTTAATCACCTATAGAGCTTGACTGCTGTTTGCAGAACTTGGAGTGTTACAGAATACTTTTGAAATATCTTTTCAGTGCTCACAAAGCAAAGCATGATGAGGTGAGTACTAAACCAGGAGAACAAAGACTTGCAGTATAATCTGGAATGTGCCTTTATGTAACAATGAATGCCTCACAGATCTCTCTGGGATTGTGCCCTCTTTTGTAAGACAGACTTTGTCACACTTCCATTCATTATTCACAGGGTTCCTGCGAGGCTCAAATGCAGAAAGTACGATAGAATATATATGTTAAAATACCCTATAGGGTCAAGTGGCACCATAGACACCTGGTCTCACTCTCCCCACAGGTCCCCATCACTGACCGATGGCAGTCATTCATTTGTTCATATTTTACTGCTAATAAAATAGGTGAAGCTTAGAGAACAAGAAAAAATAATAAGAAATAAGTCCTGCAAAATGTGCAGTTGTTACTATTTATATTGGGATGAAGAGACAATTATAAGATTCTTTACATTTGTCAAACAATAGATATTTATTTTCAGCATTTATTGTTCAAGGATCACAAATAACATGCTAAATATTAATACAAATGTTGCTGTTTTCATACAGTATGAATCTACTTCAAATATAATTTTCAACAAACATAATCCAATTTTTCCTGTACATTTCTTTTACAATTTAAGAAGTTACTTTGTACAAATTCAGGTGACTAAAATATATTATTAAATATAACCATTTAAATGCATTAAATGGACCCTGTCTACCTACTTAGTAAGTATGCTGGGCTCTGCAGTGGTCAGACTCAGTTATGAGTCCAAGCTTCAGATTTGGCATGGAAGGGATGGTTGGGCTGGATGAATCCATTTTTACTTCATTCACCTTTGTATTTGCTGCCAAACATGTATATTTCACAGTGTATCTTGTTTCATACAATCCATGATTCTGAAATTTATGGAATGTCCCTTTCTGAAATTAAATTATTTAAAAATCTAATGAAGGAGTTTATTATTTTAAATAACTCTTATGGTAATTCTTTGTATTAGATTGAATTATATTATATTGCTGATATCAGAGCACTTTTGGACTACAAAATGTCAACGTAATATGGCTCAATGTAATAAAAAGTGATGTATCTTTCATTTTATCATAAAACAGAGTATATCTATACCTACCTGTTTATATACCAGCTGATGAGAAATTTGGAGGGAGAATGGGATGGGTTAGTAAATATTCTGTATAGAAGGATAAATTCAAATTATACCCACTGTCTAGCTGACTCTGATCAGTAGTATATGTCAATTAATGAGTTTGGGACATGACATATCTTAATATAAATGGAAAAATTATTTTATTTACAGTTTATTATCATTAAAACATTCATTTAATGATTCAGTTTTAATTAAAGCATCCAGTTCATTTTCCTAAAGATTAAATACCATGTGAGTCACCACAGTGAAGCATCAATTTAAATTATTTCCATTTGTTATCATTGGAAATTATGGGGATTAAGCTGCTATTTTAGTATATTCAGGGCTTTGTGTTTTGGTGAATGTTCAGCAAAGATCTAGATCCCATGGGGTACTTGTGATTACAGAGAGTGGTTGTTTTTCAGGTTAGTAACAGTCATCATCTAAATCAGTGATTGCAGGAAGTTTTAATCTTTTCAAATTCGGGTTACGGAGGTCAGGTGGGGAGGGAACAGATTTGCATTCTCTTTATAAGATTCAGAAAAGGGTGCTTTGAGTATCTTCCTATCTGCTGCTATTTGAAAGTGTAATCAGTTCCTTCATTTATCCAAGCACTAACTTCCCAACTGTACGGTGCATTCAAATACTGTGGGCACAACACAGAGAAACTGGAACGAGGGGGAATACATGTCCTTAAGATCGGGGGCATATTGTCAGCCTTTGATGAAGTCTATATATGGCTGCCAAGAGTTAAAATTTTAAAAGTCCATGGCATCTGTGTGTTGAATAAAGACACAAACTAAGCCACCAAGATATAATAATATGAGTCACCTTGCATTTTAGAAAACATGAAGCAAAAAAGGAACTCTATACCTTATCCAAGTCTTTGTTTACCTGTTAATTTGTTCTGAATGATGCAGAATGCAGCTGCCATCTCTGACAGTGTGCAATTATAACAGGTGTGGCAGAGTCTACCTTGCTGCTAAGTTTAGCTCTGCATATGGGGATTTCACACTTTTCAGCCCCTCGGAGAAGGGAGCATTGGCAAATGACTGCATAAAATTGGAACGCACTTGGGAGTTTCACCACCACACTAGATTTAGAACAGAGTAAATGAGCCAATCTAAAATGGTTACAGTGGTGGTAGAGGCATTAATTTCACATCCATTCCATTTATCTCTTACCACCACTGCAGTTCCCTATGGAGCATCCTGTGAAATTTGATGACAACCTTTTAGGTGCAAAGAGTGACTAATTTTTTGAGCATGTAGAATCTAACACAGGTGTACTAGTTTTTTGGTAGCAAATTGCCACTAGATTTCTAATTTCTGATTATAAACAATATGCCTCTCCTTGGTTTCTCACTGGAAATTTAATTTAAAAGAATCAAATTCTCTCCTACTGACATACTAGGGCTGCTTATATGAGTGAAAGTTTTCAAAATACATTTTTTCCTGTAGATAATAGCTCTTTCTTCAAGGCTGCTCCTTAAACTGAAAGTTTCTTTAAATCTCTTCCTTCATTTGGGACAGAATTCTTGGGCTAAGATGATGAAACTATTGCTCTTTTGGGAAAGGGATAGTGATCCTCTTCTGTTAACTTCTGACAAGATTTAGCTTCATATAAGCAGAGGTGATTCTTTAGGGCCAAACTAATGAGTTAAAACTTGTCTTTTTCATGTGGCATCCTCTTGGAGCATTCATACCTTTTAAAGGAAAATTCTCCTTGTTTGTTCCTAGAGCTTCCAGGGATCTTGTGTTTTTAACAGCATCATATGAATTTCTGTGGTTTCTGAGGTTTGCTGAAGGCCAAGTGCTCTTTGGTTACTATGGACACCTGCCCTCCCAGCCAGCTGTCGTTTTCTATATTCTTTTCAAAGAATGAGTCTCAGACCTCTTATATATCCCACAAGCAGAGTCAAGATGAAGGATAACACAAAGAAAACACGAGCAGCTTGTTGTTATATAGGAAGCTTTGTGTAAAAAAGCAAGACTTCCAGTACGTCAACACACAAGAATTCAATAAGACCCACTAAATCTCACCTTCATTCTGGCTTTAAGGAGTGGGAATTCTACTCTGCATCTCTACATCTGTGAACTGTGGGGCACTTTCTATGCTTTCAGAGGTGATGGGCGAGACGACATGTTTGAGCCGAAGGAGCATTGTGAAGAGCAGGATGAGGAGAATGGCCAGGAGGCTCAGAAATAAACCCACGTACATGTACAGGTTGGAGTACTTGTCTGAAGTGTTGTCCACCTCAGTGGCCAGAGTGGGAAAATGGGCCCTCCCAGTGAGATTCCCATGGTACTTAAAATGTACCTCCGTCATCACTCAGTACTTGAGTTGATATCTCTGATTTCTATTGCCTTTGCAGCATTCCAGGTCACTTACACTGTCTCTGAATATACTTGGGATGTTCCAACAATCTGATACAAAGCAGTCACACTTGGAGTGAAGTCATAGTGCCCAGACAAGAAAACAAGAATGCTCTAAATTGGTAATTTCCACACTCTTTCTGTCCTCTAGCACAGTAAGTACCTCCTTCCCAGATAGATTTTATTAGAATTTCTTAATCGATTAAAATATATATAAATAAAGCTTTATTTTTCACATTCCTACTCTTATAGTTATTAAGTATGGTGAAACTGTTTTATAATACTGCAATGTGGACAAGAATCACTTAGAGTATTATATCAGACTTTTACTCTATTTTGGTAGAGAGAGAAAGTCTCCCTTTTACCTATATCCTGTTTAGGTTTATTAATTGCATGAATTTAATTGGGTTCTTCTGTGAGGAGACTTCTTAAAGGCATTTATATATTTCTGGCTCGTTATATCTGAGTTTTCACACCTACTTGTCTGTTTTTCTGAATCATCCCTAAGGATGGAGACTGCCCAGCTTCACAGCTTGAGGGCTGTAAGTCTAGAGGATAGGAATTTTCTACACCTTTGTTGATGTCCCTCACTGTAGGTTGGAGGGAAAGCGTTGTCAGACCTGGTACTTCTCAGATGCAGGAGGACTCAGATACTGACAGCAGTAGGCCTAGGTTCAGAAGATTTGGCTTCTAAGATTCTTCAATAGATTTATTTTCCTGAAAAAAAGATAAAATATTCAGGCATCTAAGGGAAATGGATTAAAATATATTTTGAAATAAAAATGAACCAATACATCCTGAAATGATTTGCTGTAGGCAAACTAGTTTTAAAATAATATAGTTTTCCATAATTTTAAATGCCTTTTTTGTTTGTATGTGGTGCTGCTTGTTGAACCAAAGGCCTTGTGCATGCTGGGCAAGTGCTCTGCCTCTGAGCTACATCCTTAGCCCTTCTTATTTTTATTTTGATAACAAGGTCTTGCTATGTTGCCCAGGCTGGTCTGGAAGTGCATCTTCCTGCCTCAGCCTCCTGAGTGGCTGAGATTATAGGGAACACCATGCTTGGCTAAATATCTTTTCTTCTTATGCAGGAAAACAGCTATTAAAGGGTTAAAGAAAAGTACAGATCACTAAACAGCAGCTATAACTAGGCTAGATTAGGACAGTGTTTTCCATATTGCATAAGATTCACATGGGGTAATTTAAATATGTCAAAACCGGGTAACAAACTAGATACTTGAATCATGATCTTCAAAGTAGGGACCTGGGCACCACTTTAAAGATTCACAATTTATTGGACTGGGATGGACCCCAAATATTGTTTTTTTTTTAAAAAAAAACTTCATAAGTAACTCTAAATTGCAACGAGGACTGAGAAGCACTGATCTGACTTATCCAGGAAAGCCTATCACTAAAAGAAAGCAGACCTAAATATAAGGACTTGCTAATTCCCAGGTTCCAGTGCCAAATTTCACTTTAATGTATCATGGAATGTTAAAAAATGAACGTTTCTCCCAGTTTCGTTTTTTGTTCTCTCTCATTTAGGTCTGTGGGTTGAGAGGACATATTATTTTCAGTGTTTGTAGGCAGGAAAAATGGAGAAGGTATGTCCTTGCTGAGGAAAATAAGAGCATCCTTCATTACTAGACAAGACAGAACCTTGTAATTATTGGTAAAGATATTTCAGTATGTAAAAAGGGTCAACCATTTACTGTTGAAGAAAATGATCTAGCTTGTCATCAATTTTGAATGGAATGAACAATATAACCACCTTCACCTGTCACACTTCTACATGCAATAGTAGCAGATTGCTGACAATTTAGCTTAGTTCTTTTCTTTCTTTTTTCTTTTTTTTTTTTTGGTACCGGGGATCGAATTCAGGTCCTTATGCTTGTGAGGCAGGTGGCAGAACCACTGAGCTAAATCCCTGGCCCAATGTAGCTTAGTTTTATCTCTTGTAAACATATTCAAGGAGAGTTCATAGAACCATCTCCAACAATCTCATTATTCTTCCTATCATCTTTAATTTTGTAACTAGCCTGGAGCACTTTAGTTTAAATTTTATATTTCTACTCTACATTACTGTATTTTCTGTAAGCTGCATGTTTCTTAGTCTAGCTTCTTATGAGGCATAGTTAAAATGCATGGCGAATGTTTAAAATTTTAAATATGTATTACAGTAAAAGACATCGCCATTAATATCCACCTCCCTCAAATATTTGCCTTTACTTCAAACACACTTATCCCATTTTTCTTGTCACTTTCTGAAGCAGTTCTGGAAGTCTTCTTTTGTAAGTGTCTTTATGAAATACAATTAAAAAATATAGTAGATGTTGTTTGTGAGTACTATCCAAAGGAAATGCAGGATCATAGAAACAGTCTGGGGTGTCCTCAATCAACCCTATTCACCAGATCCAGCACTGTGCAACTTTTGGCTTTTCTCCAATGTCGAAATGACCACAAAAGGTAAACATTTTGAATAGATTCGGAACACTGAGGTAGCCCTGACAGCACAATGAAAGGTACTCATGAAAGAGGACTTTCAAAACTGCTTTAGAAAATGGCAAGAATGATGGAATAAGTATGTTTGAAGTGAGGGGGAGTACTTTGAGGGGGTATTACTGGCAACGTGTCCTTTACTGTAATTTAAAAAATTTAAACATTCAACATATAACCCAGCCACAAGTCTTACTGCTCCTACCATCTGTATAAAACTACATTGTTTGTGAGAAACAAAGAGCAAAGACAGGTGTTCTCTTTCTATGTTCTTTGGAACGGTGATCTAGCAAACACTTTTTCTGTGCTTCAAGGTACATCTATTTTGATTTTATTTATTTATTTTTTGGTAGGAGGACTGAGAACCAGGAATATGCTTTGCATGCAATTATTTGCACAATGAGCATTAAGAGTTAACTACTGTTTTTTTGTTGTTGTTGTGTTTTTAGAAAGTCCATCTGACGAACTTAGATCATCTTTTTTTTTTTGGTATGGGCCTCTTGGAGCATCTGTGTTTTGATTGTTTGGAGGACCTACTTTTAAAAAGTATTTATTTATTTATTTAATTGAGTTTATTGGTACATTTAAGGTATACAGTACAGTTACGTTCATTATTGGGGTCTTGTACCTTTACATCACAGGTCTTGCTTCTCATTTTTTCCCCTTGTCCCTGCCCTCCCTTCACCCCCCTCCCCTCCCCATTTACAAACACTTTATTTCCATTTCGTCATATTTTTTTTCTTTTCCCTTATTACCTTTCCCCTATCCTTCCCATTTTCCCTACACCTTTAGACTAGAGGTTCCCTTTGACCCAGTCATCCCTCTGCTGGGTATCTTTCCAAAAGAATTAAAAGAATCATACCACAGTGATATATGTGCACCCATGTTTATAGCGGCACAGTTTGTAATAGCTAAATCTTGGAAACAGCCCATGTGACCATCAGTTGTAAACTGGATAAAGAAGATGTAGTTTTTCTATAAAATGGAATACTACTCAGCCATAAAGAATGAGAAATTAGATTCATTCATAGGAAAATGGATACATATTGAAGATATACTCCTAAGTGAAATAAATAAGTCACACATGTGTAAATACCAAATAGTTTCTCTGGTGTGAAAAACTATAATGGTACATAGGAAGAAGAGGGCTAAAATGTATTTAAAACAATGTTATTGTTTGAATTGTATCATCCAAAAAGATATTTTGATGTTCTATCCCCCAGTACCTGTGACTCATCTCAGAATTTAGAAATAAGATCTTTACAGATGTAATCAAATTAAAATGAGATCATTAGGTTGGCTCTAATCCAATGACTAGGGTCTTTAATCCAATGACAGAGTCACCCAGTGAGAAGACAGAAACAGATTGGAGTGATGTATCCATAAGACAAGAAATGCCAAAGATGGCCAGCAAGCACTAGAGGTTGGAAACAGGGAAGATTCTATCACACAGATTTCAGAGGATGTGTGACCCAGCTGATGTCTTAACTTCAGCCTCCAGACCTGAGAGAATAAATTTCAGTTGTTTTAAGCCACACAATTTATACAACATTGTTACGGTAGCTCTAGGAAACAAATACATAGAATAACTACTCTGAGGCCCTAAGGTTTTGGAACTTTGGAAGTAGTGTTTCTCAGTGTGGGATTTGGAAATTCTTTTCATCAGGATAATGCACTTAGAAGGTGCTTATTAAAATGCAGATACCTAGGCATTTTCTCTTGCTCCCTAGGTCCTAATGTCTGGGGATAGGACTTTGTAATCTGTTTGTATGAGTTACCCACTTAAAGTATCTAAGCACACATATTAGGCCTTTTGAAAATGAATATACAGTAATTGGGGTTCTTCCTGCAGAAGTTCTGATTCATTAGTTCTGTGTGGGACATGAACATCATTATTGTTTGAAGCTTTATACGTGAATATGATACACAGCTATGGCTGAGAAATACAACTTTACAAAATAGAACCTAGGATTTCAATTTCAGGACTCTGGCAGTCCCAGGCAGCTCATACAGAGATATCCTTTGATCTCAGCTTCTCCTCAGGTATTAAATGTTGTACATATATGGTCAGTCTGAACAACCCTCCTTCCACCACCTGTTCTCCCTGAAGCTGCTTTCATTAAGAATGGTATCAGCATGAATAGTTTCTCTGGTGTGAGGAACTGCAACTGTAAATAAGGATCAAAATGTATAATAGATAATGCCAAATAGGAAAAGGTCCAAAGAGAAGGCGAAGTGGGAGGGGAGGGGAAAGGAAAGAAGGGAATGGAATTAATATGAGAAATGGAAAAAATGGAAACATAGTCTTTGTAAATAGGGATGGGTGGAGGGGTTGAAGGGAGGGCAGGGCAATGGGGAAAAAGTAAGAACCAAGATATTTTAAAGTACAAATCTACTCATTCTTTATGGCTGAGTAATATTCCATTTTATAGAAAAACCACATCTTCTTTATCCAGTCTTCAACTGATGGACAAATGGGCTGTTTCCAAGTTTTAGCTATTACAAGCTATGCCGCTATAAATATGGGTGTGCATACATCACTGTGATATGATTCTTTTAGTACTTTTGGAAAGATACCCAGCAGAGGGATGGCTGGGTCAAATGGAACCTCCAGTCCAAGCTCTTTGAGGTATCTGTATATTGATTTCCAAAGTGGTGGATACATATTGAAGATAAACTCCTAAGTGAAATAAATAAGTCACACATGTAAATACCGAATAGTTTCTCTGGTGTGAATAAACTGTAATAACACGTAAGATCCTAACAAGATTACTGACATTGTGAAATGGGAAGAAAGGGGCTAAAGGTGTAGGGAAGGTGGGAGGGGTAGGGGAAAGGTAATAAGGGAAAAGAAAAAAAATGTTAGATAATGAAAAGATGGAAATAAAGTGTTTGCAGATGGGGAGGGGAGGAGGGGGTGAAGGGAGGGCAGGGGTAAGGGGAAAAAATGAGAATCAAGACTTGTCATGTAGAGGTACAAGATCCCAACAATGAATGCAACTGTACTGTATCCCTAAAATGTACCAATAAACTCAATTAAAGAAAAACAATAAAAATACAAATTTACAATGATGAACTTAAAATGTACCAATAAAATTGATTAGAAAAACAATGAAGAGAAAAGAAAGAATTGTATTAGCATGGAGATAAGAGTTTAGTGAATTTTCACTCCTGTATCTTGTAAATTACCATTTCACCTGCCTTCCAGAAGAGAAGTGGAAGCAAAAATACACACTTGCTGCTAATATAAACAAAGTGAGAGAGACCTCTATGCTATTATGGAATCTTTTCATTCCTCCTTGGAAGTGGATACATTACTGGATAAGTCATACTTATTGATTTATGGCACCCTGCTATAATTCGTAAATTCATACCCTCTTTAATTTGTGTACTTAATAAGATAATGAGCACCCATCGACAGACACTGTTCCTAATAACTTTGAATGAGAATAACTAATAATTTATGTGATATCCACTTATACTCTCCAACTCGTCCTCCTACCTACTTATCTACAGAAGTAACCAAGCCTTCAATTTTGTTAATCATTACCTTGTTTTGATTTATATATACACACATATATGCACACGCATGAGTGTGTGAGCACACAAACACAACACACACACTACCTATGCCTAAGCAATATGTAAGCTTTGTTTGAACTTTATTTTTTAAAGAAGATGGTAGGCTATATGCAATTTTTCCTGTCTCCTTCACATTTGACCCTGAATTTTTCCTGGGTCTGATTATTTGTTTATTATTCCATGAAGCTTGGAGAAGCTTAGACAACAATGATGTCTGCTATAGTTGTCAACTTCTTTAAATGTTTCTTTTGAGGGTTTGGAAAACTAGTCACATAATTTCCAAAATCCTCTATTGTCAGCTGGTCACCAAACACCCTGGTTAATTTTGGTAGGTTTATAAATTTAATTCCTTAAATCCTTTATGGACTTTGAAATAAATATTTAGGTCCTGGGGAATTATTTTTGTTACTCTGTTCCTATAGCTATGATTTCTTCTAATAAAACTTTCCAAACAGGATCACCACGGCTTTCTTTGGTCACTAATTAATTGCACAGATGATGCGACTGTTGCATTAAAAGTTCTGCACAAGATAGAATGAAAGATAATCATATGATTTCAAAAGGAGAAAAAAAATCCATTCATTCTGAGGGATCTGATCATTGTGGGAAGACTTTTATAGTCTTATTTTAGTTCCTACAGTCCTTTCTGAAAAGCTCAAAAATAAAAATCAAGTTCTAGTTTTTCAAAAGTGGTTGAAAGCTGTTGGGGGAAAAGAAGATAGTGAGGGGTAGGGAAAAGGGCAAAGAATTAGGAAAAGAAGGAAGGGCAATTGAAGAAGGGCGAGAGAAAGAGGAGGAAAGGAAAGAGTTGCTATTTTTTATTTTTCTGTACTGGGATTGACCTCCAGCTCTTGTGCTTATCAAGGCAAGTGGTGAACCACTGAGCTAAATCCCCAGCCCAAGGAGGAAAGGAAAGAAATGCGAGAGGTGAGTAAAGCTGGGGGGGAAAAAAAAGAGAGAATGAGACATGTGGGAAGGGAATAAAAGGTAGGAGAAAATCAATGATTAACAAAAAGAGAAGAAAGGGAAGCGGGAAAATATAGGGAAAGAAGGGAGGAAAGGAAAAGAGGAAAGATAAGTTTAATAATTGTCCAATGTCCAACAGGAACCTGACTATCCAGTTTTTTTAATCTCTACTGTAAATCAAAATACCTATAAGTGTTGTGAAGGCACTTCTGGCTTTCTGTTTGCATGTTTTGTCACTAACTTGGTAAATAAAAGTAGTAATAAAAATTCTTGTGTTTTTAGTATTGAGCTTGAAGTGCCCAAGTCTTCAATAATGTTTGACATTAGCATAGTATGTATAACCTCATGGGAGCAAAATTGCATAGGTCCTGAATCATAAATTTTGCTCCTTGAAATGAGAAAGGAACGTGAAATTTTAGTCTTTATCTGTCGACAGCAAGAAGGATTCCTTGGGTGAAACTTGTTTCTGATGAAAGCAGCAAAGGTCTGCATAAGCCTACAAAATCAGACTGACATTTACGCAATAAACCTGTATTTGGTGCCAGCCAAGCCCTAGGCACTGAGCTCAGCATTGGGGAAGTATAAATAAATGTATCCTTATCCCTGTTTGGGTACTCAGGTTCTCCTAGCAGTAACATTTACTTTCTTATTGACAAAGTTCTGAAAAGCATCCACTGTTTTTTTTTTATATTTTTCTGTATGATACCTGCCTATATAATTACTCAGATGAAATCCTCCCAAATTGCTAAAGAAAATGATCAGTGGAAAAGAAAAGTAACATCTATCCATTGCAACAGTTCCAAGAGTTAACACTTTCTGTTTGTATCTTCCAAGTGAGGAAGACAAAACTATGGGGAGATCTGAACTGTGAAGAGTATTGAGCTCCGTAGCAGCCTATGAAAATTACAATTTCAGTAGCAAGCCATTAAATAATAAGCTTTCACAAGGGGAGTTGCTTTATCTGCCGCAGGTGGTGCCGATTTGTCACACCTGCCAGTAAATAAAATAAAGCAGCTTACTTCACCATTCACAACATTATCAAATTTCCAAATTTCTCTTACCTTTCCTGGCTCTGGTTGACTATGTAAGTATTCCTTTTAAAGCTTTCTCCGACAGCCAACTTGTTCAGTAGCATCTCTGTAGTGTCTGGAAAATAGATTGAAAGCCTTGCTTTACCAGAGAAGCAGAACTATGTTCATGCAAAGTATGCTTTCTCTTTCATCTTCCTGAAGAGTCAGCCCTTTCCAGAAAAGCAGAACAGAACCTTCTATTAGTTATCCAAAATGCCAGTTGCCATCTATGGGTTAGAGTGCAGTTTCAGATGCCTTTTTCTTATAAGCACCAAACAGAAAAGGGAGGTCTCTGGGTGTACGTGCCACTGCCGTCTGGAACACTTGAATGTAAGCTGGCTGAATTAGTTAAGTCTCTAGTTCCTTATTCCCAGGCAACAGTATGCAGGAAAGATAGCGACTCAGCTCTGCTCTGCCCTGCAGTGTGGAGCCCCAGAGAGAGGGAGGAGATAAGAGAGAAATGAAGCAAAGTTTGTATAAGCCTTCCAATTTAACCCTTTCCAGGTTTCTTCTGTAGTATTAGCTAAAGCTCCCTCTTTTTGTAGAAGGTGCTTCAAATGTCACTTAAAAGAATCAGATTTCTTGCTCAATTCAAAAGACTTTTTTTTTTAAGTGTAGATCTTATAGCAATATAGGGTGAGAAATGACACCAAACATATCAAAATGTGCTGGTATTTCCATAACTCCATTTTTACAAACATAATATGTGCGCGCGCGCGCGCGCGTGTGTGTGTGTGTGTGTGTGTGTGTGTGTGTGTGTGTTTCTAGGATTTGGAAAGTTTTTAAGGCATTAGTTGAATGCATTTAGCTTTGATATTTTGTGGAAATATAAAATCAGCTTGAGTTTCTGGTTGAGGGTGTAAAATCTTTAAAGAAACTATCCATGGTAGATATTTCATTAGAAATGATTCATCCACCTGTAGTTTAAATGACCTTACCATCCTTCACACGGCAAGAGGAAGGAGATTACCAGTTCTGGAGTGCTTACTTTGTATAAAGTGTGTCATATAAAGAACTTCATTTAATTCTCACAACTCTATGACTTGGGTTTCTCATTTTACAAATGGGGAAACTGTAGCTCAGAAAGAAAAATTTGTTGTGTAGTTTAGTAACCCTGGAGCTAACACTTGAAAATAAAGCAGAGTGATCCCAGGGTCTTTGCTCTTTTCTCTGTCGCAGTATTTTAAATTTTGTGAGTCTTGCATGTCTTTCAGAATCTAATAAAAACTACAGACCTTTTCCTCCCTCATAAATATTTAACTTCTGCATTCCATGGTCTCCAAGTTAAGAACAGCAGAATCTTTCCATATTGCTTCTTCAACATCATGGCATCTTTGTGCATTCATTGTTCATCAGACAACATCTATCAACAGTTTTTATTATGGTAACAATGGTAATAAATGTATTTTTTCAATAAATGTATTAATATCAATGTCTTGTCAATCTTTAAGACATTACTGCAGTGATTTTCCCTTTATTCCCACACTCTCCTTAACAATTCCTATATCTTATGTCTTTTCCTTTCCTTCATCCCAGTGGTTACAATGAATTGAGGCTCTCCTTGAAATCCTTAATGCTTCACCAGGATGTCCTAGTACCTAGTTTCTCAAACAGGTGGAGTATGGTGGAATTTTCCAAACTGGAATAGTATGGCCAAGATTCATGAAAGTATGTAATAAACCTACTGCATTTTCCTAGAGGATTTATTTTACTTGGATGTTTGGATAGGAAGAACATATGTCATTGAAGTTACCACTTTAAACTTTTTATATGATGATAGACACATTGTAGAATAAACTGCAATGTCTGCATGTATTTTTTATGGTCATACATGAGACTTCAGAGAAAATTTGTACTTTATATGGGAACTTCTTGAACTACTCAGACTTCCCCAGGGATATATGTTCTCTGTTCTCTCCCATTTTGCATAGTTTGGTTGAAAAGCTCAGAGATAATAGTATAGCAGAAAGACAAGGAACTTTGAAATCATGTAGATCTGGGTTTTGGCCTCAGCTTTGATCTGTATTTCCTTGATTACCTTAAGAAAGTCAGTTAATTTCCCTGAGACTCAGTTTTCTCATCTTTAAAACAAAGGAAATTGTAAAAGGGAGATTATATGAGAATATATCTCTAAACCATGCATTATAAATTACCAATAAATGCTAATGTTGCCTCAAAGTTTTAGATGTCAAGAGAGGATGAGGCTGCTTGAATCTAACTGGAGATTGCAACCAAAATAATTTATCTTTTCTTATCTAATTATAAAAAAATAAGAGTTATGTAACATGATATTAAAATTCAGGTTTCCAGGAAGACATAATAGATGTAAAGGTCCAAAACCAAGTTATCATGTGCAGCATCTACAAGAGAAATGCTCCAGAGCAGGTTCATTATCATTGTCTGAGGAAGTCCCTAAAGAGGTGATGGGGACCTCAACTTGACCCACTGAGTAGTATCGCATCTTGGAAAAAGAACTTCAGGGAGTGTCATTATGAGGCAAAGGCAGATTTATTAAGCAGAATTATAAAGTAAGGGAGAATCAGGAAAGGACTGCAATTTAGGTAATGGGAGGAGGCACCCTGTGATGGGAAGGTTCAGACTGGGCTGCTCACAAAAACACAACACAGCTTTTATGGATAGGCTGAGATGTGCCAGGGCCCAGTCAATCATCTCAGTTCTGGTTTCACAGCTCCCACTCTGAAGGAATCCTTATGGCTCAAGGGGCAGTTTAGATTGCTTGGGAGGTCTCATCATGGGGTGATCTGTGTAGGTCTGCTTTTTCGAGAATCAAGGCTATTACAGTTTTGGGGCAATAATTGAAAAATTTTAGGCATTGCAACAGAGAAGAAGACTGGAACTGGGCTTTGTAAAATATGGTTATTGCATATTTCTGTAAATCCGGAAAATTTTCATTTAGTTGTTCTTATTTTTGTGTCTTCAGGCTTGAAGGGGATGAAATAGAGTAGGTAAACTTGGGGCTAATACACTTTGTACCATAGGCACACCTTAAATGATTAATATGCATACATGTACAGCTGAGCAGGGATCTGACCCAGAGTTTTAAGGTAATAAGGAAGACAAAAACAATTGAGTTTCTTCTCTCCTTCCTATTTATTTTTATTTCTTTTATCTTACCTCAGTTTCAAGAAACAAAAGAAAAAAATATGAGAAAATGAAAAAATGGAAATAAAATGTTTGTAAATGAGGAGGGGAGGAGGGGAGTGAAGGGAGGGCAGGGTTAAGGGGAAAAAATGAGAACCAACACCTGTCATGTAAAGGTACAAGATCCCAATAATGAATGTAACTCTACTGTATCCCTAAAATGTAGCAATAAATTCAATTAAGAAAAAGAAACAATAAGGCATCCGATGATGGATGGGATCAGGAATAGAAATTTGTAAAAACAATTCTTTGCAGAGAGATGTTGCCAGTCTAAGATGCCACTCTGTCTTTCATAGAAGTGATAGGTCTGGGTGATACTACTTCCTACAATTCAAGCCTAGTAAGGGGGTATTTCCCCAGACCTTACCATTTACTCTGTGCTGTAGACAAGCAGAGCACTAAAGCTGCATTTTGCTCTGAGAAAGCTAGAGAGCCAACCGGTGGGAAGTAATTTCACAAAGGAAGAAATGACTAATTCCCTTCTCTCCTTTCTGTGTTCCTGCTTCTATCCTGAGGGGACAGATAGCAGCTACAAAGTGGGACAGAAAGAAGAAAACCTATTCTTCCTCCCTATCTAAAGGTAGTTAACCATAGTCTACCAGTTTCAGCAGTGGGAAGGGAAGGAGACACTTTCTTTGAATAAAGACTGAAGATTTCAATTAATATCGTAGATTGTATACATACTGATTAATTACTGAATTAAGTTTGATTTATCACTTAGAGTGAGTGACCTTAGTACTGTTTATTCTTAAAAATGTGAGCAGAAAAATTATGCAATCTGTCCATGTTTCCATTTAGGGTTAAAGAAAACCTACCCCAGTAGAGTACAATATATTGAGATATTGGGAGACTTTAAAAAATATCAGTTCCACTCAATAATTCATTCTTTCATTCAATAAGCACCAGAGTGCACAGTACGTACCAGGCTTTGTGCTAAGAGAAGGACATACAGTGAAATGAAAAAGTCCTTGGTCTTAAATCCCTTATAGTATACACAGGAGTAAGCATATTCCCCCAATAAAAACCCAGGTAGTAAATATTTTGGGTATTTCGGGACATGCATGATCTCTATTGCATATTCTTCCCTTTAACTAACTCTTTAAAAATTTAACAATTATTCTTACTTTGAAAGCAGTTAAGAAAAAAGAAGTTATGAGTTATATTTGGCCCGTGGTCCCAGCTTTGATGGCTCCTACACTATGGAAGAAAAAAGATTTTATAAACCACCAATTAACATATATTTAATTATAACTAAATGTATTTTTAGGACACTTGGGAAAGAGACACAAAAGAGCAATATCTAACTTTTACTGGGAAATCATGACTTCTAGGAAGATGTAATGTGTATTTGAGACCTGAAAGATGACTAGGAGTTACAGCTAAAGGAAATGAACAGTATTGAAGGCAGAGGGAGCAGTTTGTACGAACATGTCGAAGCTTAAGCAAGTTTGGCTCTCATTAGAAACAACAGAAGGAAGAAACAATTTTAGAGAAGTTAAATAGTTTACTCAATGTCACATAACTAGAAAGTAATGAAACTTAACCCAGGTGTCTCTGACTTCAAACCTGTGCTTTTAGCCATTTTATCATATTCCTGCCCTAGTACAGACACTATGTCCAAGAACTGCATTTTGCAATTCAGCAGCTCTGTTTGACTGACTTTCGAATTCCTTGGTGGTGAAAATGTCAAAATTCTAAAAGGGTATGCAGATGTTAAAAATAAAGCAGTGAATCAATAATGTTTGGTTGGCTTAATTATACCTATAGTTTGCCTTTTAAAAAGCGATTCCCTTTCCTTAATTAAACTTAGTATACATTGTTCAAATTAAGGAGTTTGTTTATTTCATCCTTATAGGATAATTTTGTGATGGGACCTAGGCTCTAGCACCACTATCCTGTAATTCTTATGTTGCTTTTATATATTTAGATATTTAAAAGTTATGGCAACCTCTGGCTTGGGCTACATATGATTGCACAAGATATTATTCCCATTTTCATTAATCACATTGAAGATCTCAGGCAAGTGAGTTTACTCAGCACAGATTAAATCTGCCAATTTTTAATTGGTTGCTTGGTAGGTTTTTATTGAACTAGCATGAATTGGAAGGCAGCAACTACGCTAGGAAAAGTACTCATCTAAACATGCCATGTACGCTTGGAGTCAGCAAGAATACAGATTGAAATGAGGAAGTGCAAGGAATGGGAAGGGCCCAACCTCGCTATTG